CGACAAGTGATGCATCAACTCTCATAAAACCAAGGTCTTACCAATGAATCATATATACGGTCATTGATTGCTCGCTATCATATGCTTCACTGATTTTATGTGGTGGTGCCTTTACTAGAGACTATTTCTGCAATGCAAATCATACAAAGCATTAAGTTATATAATTAACATTTAATTTATGAGATTCTCAATTACACCCCATGCACAGTTAAAAAAAAAAAGAAAGAACACTTTCATTCATTAGCTAGTGCCCTCATGCGAAGACCTTATTTAAAACATCATAAGAAAGAAGGGCAAATTCATGGGGTGAAACTTGAAGTCGTGAGGCTCGTGGAGTGGGACGATCAATTCTCTTGCATTAGGCTATCTCTCGTCTCGTGGTCTCTATAAGCATAATTGACGAGAGTGTTATTCAATAATCTACTTAACCAACTCTTGCTCAATTAAATTTGTAGAGTTGTGCAAATTGAACATAGGTTTTCTATGTTCTACAGAAACCATACGGCCTTGAGGTACCATATCACTCCATTATCAATAGATGAAGTAAATATATAGCTTGTTGCCTCAAAGTCAAAACTAGTCCCTTACTGGGTGACCCAATTTTGGTTTTTTGTGCATGTCCGTGTGGACCATTTTGTCTGATCAGAGGCCGTCACCATTTCAGAACCAAGATCTCCATTCTCGACATTTACAAATCATAGGCAGTCAACTTCCAGAGCTATATATATATATACACTAGTAAACACACCGCAGTTGTCTATGGTTCTAGGAAAAAAATCAGTATTATATAGATATTAATCACATTTGTAGGTGTTTATAGAGAGGAAGACAAAAAAGTTAACTTCCATAAAACATTTGGTCGGCAAAAAAAAAAAAGACCATAAGTCTTGTGGCTTGATGTCATTAAAAACCCCATGAATCCCTAAAAATTGCAAGACNCTTAAGGACCCTAGGTTTGATTAAAGGGTCTAGTCTGTCTATCCCAATAAAATGACATTTTCCACCCCAGTTAATTGGAGAATCTGAAATTACTCCCTACGTACTTTTTTTTTTTTAATGAAATGCGATGGTATTTTGCCAGTTCAAAAAGGAGGAATAGCATAATAAACTGGAGGACAACTCCTCCACCCAAACATCAGAGGCAGCTACAAAATAATTTTTTTTTTTATTAATTAGTGAACAATCATATTATCAAGTCTTAGCACTTCTCTCTAATTTAATTTCACAGGTTTCAAATGTATGGAAAATTATCAATATAACTTTATCACTTTTGTTACAAGTTCTTGGATGGATCTTTTGGAAGAAGAGTGACTGCATACACAATATCTCCAAGCTATGGTTACTTAAGTTTATTGCTCAAAGCATTAAGCTTCAAACATATAGGAGCTTGACATTGCTTATTCTTGTGTGTGTGTGTGTGTGTGTGTGTGTGTAGACATAATGAGTATATGAATTTCAAATGCTTATTGCTTTCTCTTCCAGCAAAATGACAGCTACGCTTGTGGTTCACCTAAGAAAGCTACGCTTCTAGATGTAGTCTTCTTTTACCAAAATCTTCTAAATAATTGTGGCTGATAGAGAACTCGACTAAAGGGCATCAAATCACGGTTTTTTTTTTTTGCTATTCTTTGTGAGTAAGACATGTTTAAAGTCAAATAAAAAGGATCTAAGTAAAGTTTGATTTATAAATAAGAGTATACTTTACATTTTAGACTGGTTGTCAGATCTTCTTTTTTTACTAGTATACTCTTCATATTATCTTTTAGTTGGTGATTGATTGCTTGCATTGGACCATTGACGTGGTGGGTCCTGAAGTTGTAATCATACAGTACGTTAATTATACGATTATGTTGATGAATGTCACTAAATTCCACATACTCCATGTACTAAGGAAAAGAACTAAAAGGGTTAACCACATGCATGATTACCCATTCACAAGGACTTGAACTTCATCTTTCATTAAACTCACCATCACTTGCCATAAGTTCTCAATTCAGTACGAAGTTTTTTGAATTTTCTGAATTTATACATATACCCTTTTTTGGGCAACTTTTACAAAATGAATTCTTAAATTTCTGTTTCTTCTATTTGGAGC